GTGACATCTTTGCTTTTCAACACTTTAAAGAGGTCTTTTGCAGCACATTTGCCCAATGCAATGCATCTTTTGATTTCTTGACTGCTGCTTCCATGGGTGTTGATCGTAGATCCAAGTAAATGTAAGGCTATGCTGTATTAATTATTCCTACAGGCAATAGCTAGAATCACCTATAAATAAAAGCTCACTGAAACAAGTGTTGTTCTTATTTCATTCATCTTAGTAATAAATTTGGATAGGCTCAAGGATCAATTTTCAAAACTTGAAAGTCTGAATCTAGAGTAGAGGGCGGGACTCCATCAGAGAAGAGTCAATCCAATGGTTCTCTATGGACCAAAATACCATGAATGAACAAACGAATGAAAGAATGAATGATGAACATTTTTAACACAAACTGAATTGAGACTTACATACGTAAGCCAATTGTTCCTAATTTATGCATCAGTATTTCTGGCCTCCATGAGAGAAAGATCAAGTAGCAACAGAGTTGGGATTTGACATATGAAATTTGCAAAACTAGTTTTTATAAAGAAGGAAGTGACACCAATGTTCTGTTGCATTTCTTCTCTTACCAAGGTGGATTTGAAATATTTAATATTTAATCTCTTATATATTGCTGCTCTGAAATCTGTTACCTTTCTACACTATTCTTCTTTGCTCTGCTTTCCTTTTTCTAAACACTCTATCTTCCCAAAGAGTAATATTTACTGAAAACTTCATTGTTACATCCCTTATAATTTTTGGAGCTAAGACAAAATATTCTTTTAAAAAGTAATAACTTCTGGAGGAAATAAGAGTGATCTAGGAGCTCTGGTGGCTGAGTGATTAAGTGCTCGGCTGCTAACCAAAAGGTGGGCAGTTCAAATCCACCAGCTGCTCCTTGGAAACATTATGGGGGCAGTTCTACTCTGTCCTATAGGGTCGCTATGAGTCAGAATCAACCCGATGGCAAAGGGTTTCTTTTCTTTTTTGGCCGGGGGGATGATAAAGAACTTGTTGTTGTTGTTAGGTGCCAACAAGTCAGTTCCAACTCATAGCGAACCTATGTACAACAGAACGAAACACTGCCCTGTCCTGCACCATCCTCACAATCATTATGCTTGAGTGTTGCAGTCACTGTGTCAATCCATCTCGTTGAGTGTCTTCTTCTTTTTCACTGACCCTCTACTCTACCAAGCATGATATCCTTCTCCTGGGACTGATCTTTCCTGAAAACATGTCCAAAGTATGTGAGATGTAGTCTCACCATCCTTGCTTCCAAGGAGCATTCTGGCTGCACTTCCTCCAAGACAGATTTGTTCGTTCTTTTGGCAGTTCACAGTATATTCAGTATTCTTCACCATAATTCAAAGGTGTCAATTCCTCTTTGGTCTTCCTTATTCATAGTCCAGCTTTCGCATGCATATAAGGCAACTGAAAACACCATGGCTTGGGTCAGGTGCACCTTAGTCTTCAAGG